TGCACAATCTTAATTAAAAGTTAACTTCTGAGGTTATGTTACCTACTTATATTTCGTCATTCTTAAGTTGGTGAAGCTCAAGAATCGTTTCACAAGTGACAGGTAATTTTTGTAAAAGGTTATGTTAACTTCCTCATCTACTAAATTGAAATATACTGGGTTTAACGTGTATATTAACAGTTAATGTAATAAACACAATTTTTGATTTAGTTCGACTTTAAATACTACTACTACTACTACAACTTTAATAAAACCACTTTGGGAAGCGCATACAGTCTAAACTTGAATTTCTTATGGAAGAAAAATGTCATGCGTAGAGAGGGTTACATTTGGCATCTGGCAAGAATCGCCTTTTCCGTACGGACCACGAGAAGGAAAACCCATTCTTTCGTATCAACCACCGATTGAATTTGGACGTATTTTCCATATCCGCCAGTGACTAGCATCGATCGCCTTATTATTCGAAAAGAAAAGGGAGATCTTTCGCATTTTCCATGGATCGCCTCTTTGTTAGCGACCGCCGATTAACTTTGAACGCCTTTTCCGTAACAACGTGTGAGTAGCATCGATCGTCTTATCACTCGAAAGGGGGGAAGGGACATCTCTCTCATCTTCCATAGACCCCCTCTTTGTTAGCGACCGCCGATTAACTTCGAACGCCTTTTCCGTAACAACCTGTGGCAAGCATCGATCGTCTTATCACTCGAAAAGGGGATGGGGCATCTTTCTCATCTTCTTTTCTTCTTTTACAATCTTTTCTCGTTTCTCTTTTTCTTCTCTTAGTTATTGTTCAGCTATTTTTAGCAGTCCTTACTGGATTTTTGATATTCAATCCTCCATACCGATTGGAGAGTTCAAACAACTCATGTTCTGTATTGGTAACTTCATGTCCAAAAAATTGCCGAGGTACTCTAAAAAGTCTCGATCGTCATCTCCATGTCCTACAACTCCCTGTGTAAATATCGATTCAAGAGATTTTGAAGGACTTGCAAGTAGCTTGTGGACTATTTTCAGCTGCCACTGAAAGTTTCTTCGTACATTCACCCCGTGTCTTAGTCTTTTTCTTCACAAACTTCATCTTTGAGTCTTTAGTCCCAGTGATTTCATCCAAGAAGCGATGTGACATTATCTGTATACCCATTTTCAATATAGGTCGGACTTCAATGACTGTATTAAAGGTAACAAAGCAATGCCATTCAATTCATGATCATGAGCTGGAGGTCAAAGGAGCCGTAGTAAGTAACCTGTCAACAAGGATAGTCATCGAATAATTGAACAACCATTGATGAACATGAATATGTTAATCAAGGGTTACAACAAAAGACCTATGGCATTCCAAGTTTACGAAATAGGCGCATTACGACAAATTGTATCACGTTCACTCCTCTAATATATCTAAACATAGCATGGGGGCCGCTCTTCGAATATAAATTAAACGTACAAATCCGCGTACGTGTTTATAATCCGGAAATCGGAAACAATGGGCGAGTATTTAAATAAATATGACGCTGGAAACGGCGCGATGCATGTGTTAATCATCTAACACCATTTGCAGGTAGGTACTAAAATTTAAATATCGTACAATTTCCGATAGGAACGTGTTATGTAGGAAGTGTTAAACAATGCGACCAAATTCAGGTAGCCGACGTTAAAGTTTCAATCAACGATAGCATCCAATTTGAATTTTCATGCACGGTGCGGCGACTGCAGATGCCTGCTTCCGGTGGAACTGCCGGAAACCGCCCGGAAACCCGTTATCAACATTCACTGAGCCTTTAAAGTACGCCCAACTATTTTCCCGCCGCGATCCTATACGTGATAATTGAACATATTAACCAGGGAAATGAACTGACAGATAATATGATGAGACCAATCTGTTTAATTATATAAATCGGGTGCGGTGTATTATGCAGTGCAGGTTATACACATATACGAGACGGTCCTTTGTTGGGGTATAAATAATTTTAGGTGATGACAAGTTTCTTGAAATAAAAAAACATTGATTTATGGCCGCTGTCAGCCATGAAATCCAATTTTTATAATGGCGTGGCAAACTGAAGCAAAATAGAAAAACTTTTTGTGTTTCGGAGAATAATTGTTGAACCTATACGTTTTTCAATAATTAGGTACATTCCGCAGGCCACTCCATTCGGTGTATTGTTGCACTTTGTGACATAACAATCTTGGAAGTTGCAATCGACTAAAATTAATCATCCGGAAATATTGAAATGTTAATGGAACCTATTTGCATAACTGTGACTTACCGATTTTCACTGTGTAAATTTCTGGAAATGAGCACAAAATGTTAAATAAGGGAGTAACTGTAGACTTTTCATGGTCGCTATTATCAAAATAGCTAAGAATGTTCAATTAAACCCTACTTCGCCTTTATTAATTTTTTATAACAATGACATTTTAAACCGTTTCTAAGATTCATTTAAACTCATTGCTTAAATAATCTATAACCTTCATTGTTTCTTATAAGGTACGTAGTCATTGGCAACGTCCTTTATACTCTACTTAAAGTGCGCTGCTTAATTTTTCGTACCTAATGTTGATTCTATTACCATGGTTACTGCCTATGCCAATCTTGAGAAACATTTTACACATGATAAAATATTAATAAAAGATGAATTCGGATAAAATATGCTTCAGTGTTATCATGAAGATAACACGGTGTTTTCTAGTTTAAAAGACTCTGCTCTTCGGTCGCTCGGATTTAAATCAGCATCCTCCTTTAAACTACCTGTAAAGCACCTACTATAGTTATCTTAATAGCTATAGAGACACTGTTTTATTATAACTTAAAATTATGATTTACAAGGAAATTTTACAAAACTAATGCACCCCCACCCCCACCCCATACGCAAAAATTAATTCTGTACTTACATTTTGATTATGTCACATTTTCATTTCGAATAACAGTGTTCGAGTTATTGACTATACTCCAGGAAACAGAGACTGAAAATGAATCATGTCCTGCAAAACGAGATTGTTTTTGCTATATATGGTGCGGGAATCTAAGTTTTCGACCTAGCACCCCTTGTGCTTCTTCTGTACCACCCCTAAAATCAAAGAAATTTTGTTGGCTTTTTAGTTTTACAATCATATCTTTTTATAGATTCACTTTACAAAAAAATATTGTTATTAGAAATTGTAGACCATCAAATTTTACACAAATTTGTACATCTTTTTCGTAAATTTTTTATTTCAAAAGATACAGAGCTTCAAAGTTGTCTTTATTTTGAAAATTCCGAAATTTCTATGTATGTACATATTTTAACGAAATTGTATATTATCTCTATAATCAAAAGATTCATATGAGAAAATACCTCCAATATAAAGTTATGGTGGTATTAATTTCCATACCCTACACCCTTATCAAAGGGTATGATAGCACTTCAACCCCTTAGTCGTAGTAGGTATTTGAATCACTGTATGATTATAGCGCTTTCGAATACAATTATCAAATAAGAAAAGTGGTCTTACTTCCTTTTAACCCCTTCCATCCCTTAAATTATGAGGGCTATAGTGTAAAAGCATGTGTAGAAGTGTGACTGACTCGTCCCCTTCATTTTTTCAAAAATCCTTTGCCATATGAGGTTAAGTCCATCTGTATCAAAAATTGCAACAATTTTTTCAGTTTCTATTTGCACTCATAATTATTGTTCTATAACTCTAAACAGATTTTGAAAAATTCCGGAAAAACGCCCCCAAAATTCGCGATAAGCAAACTTTAAATTCTCAAGGTTTTTAAAATTTGGCTGAGGCTTCAATTATAATTAACAGGCAGAAAATACAATTTTAAAGCGAACAATGCCAACTTCGATCGGCAACCCTCTACCATGACCAGAATTCAATAGTTTCCTTGCTACTTCTATTTGCGCCCATAACATTTACCCAAGTTTAAGTTCGGGCATATAAAGTTTTAAATTTGTTAAGTTTAGTTCTTGATCTGGATATACGTTTTAGGCAAACAAAATGTTCTTTATCCTCAATAACACCGAGCATAGGAAACGGGTCAAATTTTCCAAAGGCCATCCATGTTGTAGTTCGAAATATGTATAGAGATCAATTTTAAAGTGTTCCTGAGCGTTAGTAATCCTTGCTGGAACTCCTCAGTGGAAATATCTCCGTTGATGGCGACTTTGGACAGTAGGTACCCACTTGTGGGATTGTAGGGAGAAGAGGTCGTGTGAGGAATACCAAACTTTTTCGTCCAATTACGAAACTTATGGTCCGTCGTCGCTCGTCAGTATTCCGAATGCGATCGTCTACTGGCGTAGGTGATAGATGATGGTATCGCTGTTGACGCTGGTGTGCGGAAAATTCGCGCCAGGATAATTCGCTCTCGGACAATTCGCGCCCAGGATAATTCGCTCCCATGACAATTCGCCCCCGGGTAATTCGCGGACTTCATAACAATACCCTGGTAATCACGCAATGAGTCTGGAACACTGTCTTCCTCGTCAAAATCTTGGTCTAGGTTGTACTTCTGGGTGTTGAAAGCACGCAACCTCAGGTCCTCCCCGATTATTTTTGCTGCTGCCTCCACAATTCGTCTTCTGTCATCTTGTACTGGTTTCCTAGATACATGCCACGACTTAAAATAGTATATTGTAATACAAGTGCGGAAAGGGCTTTATTGAAAAACGCGTATGAAAGTTGGAGCACGAGCGTTAGCGAGTGCTCCAATCATACAAGTTTTTCAATAATCCTTTCCGCAAGTGTATTACATACTATTTTTTCTACAAAAGTTCTCGAATTTAAAGATTTAGAGAAAAATTTTATATCAAAATGTTAAAACAACAATTTCTGTATAAATCAAGTCGTAGTACGATTCTCGTGTTTATCTGTAAAAATATAAAATCAAGTCTTCGTGACGCCGCTACGTTGTCTTAGTTACCAACGAGTTGTTTATAAAAAAGCAGGTTAGTAATTTTGCATGTAGTTTTGTACGAAGCAATTTCTTCAGTAAAACAAGAATTTAAAAGCTGAAAATGAGTGTTCATGAAGAAAGTGAGAGCGGCGATGAAGTTATGTGCACTCCGCCTGAGGTTGCTGCAATGGCGGAATCAATTATGCCTGAGCTTTTGCCTGAAAAATCGAGAAATCGGTACGAAAAAGAACGAGAGAGGTTTTTTAATTGGTGTAAAATGAAACAAGTCAAGCGGTATACAGAAACCGTGTTGCTTGCCTATTTTGTCGAAAAATCTGGAAAATTGAAATCATCGACACTGTGGTCAATGTATTCCATGTTGAAAAGTATGTTGATTTTGCAAGACAACGTCGACATTTCCAAGTATGCCAAGTTACAATCGTTTTTGAAACGTAAATCTGTTGGTCACAAGCCGAAAAAATCGCTGACTTTTACGAGGCAACAAATCAGTACGTTTTTAGAGGAAGCACCCGATGAAACATTTTTAATGATGAAAGTAAGCACCTATACTTACCTACTATTTTTTCATGTCTATACATTTGTTATGTCACACAAATAATGAAATTTATTTGTAGGTTGCTCTAATATTAGGAGTTGCTGGGGCTTGTCGTCGAGAGGAGTTGACGAAAATGACGGTGAACGATATCCAAGGCGAAGATACGTTTTTACTCGTAACGATTCCAGACTCCAAAACGCATGTTCCAAGAACTTTTTCTGTTACGGAGGGAAAAGAGAATTGGATACACTTGTACCAGAAATATAAAGCGCTTCGTCCTCAAAATGCTCAAACTTCGCGACTTTTTTTAAATTATAAAATGGGAAAATGTACCGTATAACCTGTGGGTATTAATACATTTGGAGCAATTCCTAAGAACATTGCGAGTTACCTGAAATTGCCTAATGCTTCTAGTTTTACGGGTCATTGTTTTCGGCGTACCTCCGCAACGCTACTTGCTAATGCTGGAGCAGACCTTTTGAGTCTTAAACGTCATGGGGGCTGGCGGTCGTCGACGGTAGCGGAAGGATACGTAGATGGTTCTCTTCAAGGCAAATTAGAAGTATGTAACAAAATAATTGGTAATGATTGTCAATCAAATGATCCTTGCTCATCTTCGACAGCGTCCACATCTACATTAATAACTTCTAAATGCTCTGTGTCAAATTCGTTACTTCCAGGTGTTAATATAAGTAACTGTTCATCATTTACCATTAATTTAAATATTACTAGCCAGAAGTAGCTGTAATTGTAAATTGTGGCATTAAAATAAAAAAAAGGTATCTTTGTTTTTACTTAAGAGTGTGGAAAATAAGTGTGGAAAAATCACTAGTGCGACAAAACCCTACTTTCAAAGGCTACTTTTTTCTCAGAAAACAAGACTTTCATCACTTTCGTAGAAAAACATTTTTTTGCTGTGCCACTGTACCAAAAAACACTATTCGTGCCCTCAAATCACAGACAATACCCTGGTCTCCATATCTCCTCATCAGGGAACTGTAACAATCCGCATCACCTGCTAACTGACACTGAAAACAATCTGGATCTTCCTCAAACTCTCTACACAGCATCTCAAGGGCACACTGCTTGGTTTTATCAACTGGCCGTCCAGGAGCCAGAGAAGCAGGTTTGAATTTTCTGAATCAATCCAAATGGTAACCCACGTGACCGCGTGAGTCGAGTTCCCCCGCAATTCTCACACTGACCGAATCACCGATATCACCCTTCACAGAAACTGAGCGTCTTCGCTCATTAGATCGTCTTCTCCTTCCTCCAAAATACGTTCATTTTCCCCAAAAATACGTTATCACTCACTTCATTCTGAGGCAGTCCTCGTTTCTTTTGTACCTTTCCCTGCTACACCATGTTACTTCGTCAGACTCGCTCTTCACCTTCGTGATATTTCTCTCTACGATTTCTGTACTCTTTGGAAGAGTACACTGCTCCATATGCGAATGGAACTTAGTAAAACCGTCTCTGAGAACTGGGATTAGGTACTAGTGCGACTTTTCAAACTTTAATACTAAAATTGCCATACTTCGATTGGATTCTGTAAATTTTCCACAGAAGGAATTTTTACGGGACTTTGTTCCCTGTTAAAAAGCACTGTCTAAGGAACCAATATCAATTACTGTACTATTATTGTAATTTGAGCGTTAGGTTGAACAAAAACTCAGAAAACTCATGCGGGCTTTGAGTGTAAAGAAATGGTCTACTGACTCACCAGGTTGCTGGTCGCGACTATGGAACACGTGTCTGTCCAATAGGGGTTTCTTTGTCTTTCATTTGCTGGAGAATGCCATCTATTTGGTTTGTACTTGTAGTGCTACGGCACAACATAGTCTATTCAGAATCAAGGGCCGATCGAAGGATTCCGTGTTGAGTATCTAGGTGCTGTTGGAGGAGCTACTGGACGCGGAAGTTGTCTTTCCGGCGGAGCTTGCCTTGGAAGCATAAAAGACTGTTTGGATGTGAATTGGGGTTGATGCAGTTCTAAAAGGAGAATTTTGCTGATTTGGGGTCTCGCTGAAGGCGCGTGGATCTACAACTTGTAATAATTGAGGAGGAATCACTTCCGGGTTGATTGCCTCGCTGACCGCGAGGGAAGTTTATTTAAAAAATATCGTTTTACCTATAATTTTCATATCTGCTTGGAGAGGTGTAACTTTTGGAGTAGGTACATGACATACGTTGGTTTCTCTTATTGTTTGTGTTTACAGCAGCTACAAACAGAGCTGGGCAGTATTCGATTTTGTAAATACTTTTTAGTATTCAAATCCTTTAAAGTATTCAAATACTTCGTAATTAAATACTTTTATGGAAGCAGTATTTGTATTGGTAACTCAAATACTTTCACAAATATTTAGTATTCGAATACTTCGCAAAGTATTTGGATACTTCGTAAAGTATTCGAATACTTCGCATAGTATTTGAATACTTAACCTTCCTTTTTTACCAAAAAAATTCAAAGGGCCTAGTAGACCAATCTTCAAACTGTGAAATTATGGATTCTTCGGGCCAAATTCTATAAGAAAATGTTTTTTCCCAGTCGATCTCAGACAATTTTTTCTTCCGGCCGCAAAAAAAGGCAGTGTATAATTACCAAAAATCGACTACTCCAAAATTTTTCGGGAAAAGACTTTTTCTTATTAATTTTGGTGCTTGAATCCAAAACGATTCGTACTTTTTCGATTAGACCTCTCAATAAAACGTTATGGACAAAAAACCAATTTCGAAAAAAAATTCAAAAGGCTGTAAATTTTGATCTAGTAGCCCATCCTTCAAACTGATTGAAATTATGGATTCTACGGGCCAAATTCTATAAGAAAATGTTTTTTCCCGGTCGATCTCAGACAATTTTTTCCTCCGGCCGCAAAAAAAGGCAGTGTATAACCTTCCTTTATTACCAAAAATCGACTACTCCAAAATTTTTCGGGAAAACACTTTTTCTTATTAATTTTGGTGCGTAGAATCCAAAACGATTCGTACTTTTTCGATTAGACCTCTCAATAAAACGTTATGGGCAAAAACCAATTTCGAAAAAAATTCAGAACTTTTGATCTAGTAGCCCAATCTTCAAACTGATTGAAATTATGGATTCTACAGGCCACATTCTATAAGAAAATGTTTTTCCGTGTCGATCTGAGACAATTTTTTTTTGGGCCTCAAAAAAAGGCAGTGTATAACCTTCCTTTTTTACCAAAAATCGACTAAACCAAAATATCTGAGGAAAACAATTTTTCTTACTAATTTTGGTGCGTAGAATCCAAAACAATTCGTACTTTTTCGATCAGACTTCTCAAGCAAAAGTTATAGACTAGAAACCAATTTCGAAAGAAAATTCAAAGGGCTGTAACTTTTGATCTAGTAGACTAATCTTCAAACTGTTTGAAATTATGGATTCTACGGGCCAAATTCTATAAGAAAATGTTTTTTCCCGGTCGATCCCAGACAATTTTTTCTTCCGGCCGCAAAAAAAGGCAGTGTATAACCTTCCTTTTTTACCAAAAATCGACTACACCAAAAAATCTCGGGAAAACACTTTTTCTTATTAATTTTGGTGCGTAGAATCCAAAACGATTCGTACTTTTTCGATTAACCCTCTCAATAAAAAGTTATGGACAAAAAACCAATTTCGAAAAAAAATTCAAAGGGCTGTAACTTTTGAGCTAGTAGCCCAATCTTGGAACTGTTTAAAATTATGGACTCTACAGGCCACATTCTATAAGAAAAATTTTTTCCGGGTCGATCTGAGACAATTTTTTTTTCGGGCCTCAAAAAAAGGCAGTGTATAACCTTCCTTTTTTACCAAAAATCGACTACACCAAAAAATCTCGGGAACACACTTTTTCTTATTAATTTTGGTGCGTAGAATCCAAAACAATTCGTACTTTTTCGATCAGACTTCTCAATCAAAAGTTATAGACTAGAAACCAATTTCGTAAGGAAATTCAAAGGGCTGTAACTTTTGAATTAGTAGCCCAATCTTGGAACTGTGGAAATTATGGATTCCACGGGACAAATTGTATAAGAAAATGTTTTTTCCCGGTCGATCTGACCATTTTTTTTCCAGCCTCAAAAAAGGCAGTACTTTTAAGTTATTCAAATAATTGAGAACAATTTAGAAATGTTTAGGGAAAGTTTCCATTGTCACAAAATCAAATATAAAAATCCGATACAACTGAATACCGAACGATCCTGGAGTGAAACTTTTTGACTCGATAGTCTACGTAACTTAAAACAATAGGGACCTTTCTTATATCCTTAAGACCATGTGTACCAATTTTCAAAGCGATCGCACGTTTCTAAACAAGTTATCATGCACACGGACAAACGGATGGTCAAAAATGGATCTGTTCCAAAATCGCTAGGATTAATTTCAAAAAGGCGTACGTATTATGTGCACGGCGTACAATCGCTTTGAAAACTGGTACACGTATTCTTAAGGATATAACTGGTATAAGAAAGGTCCTGGTAGGTACCTCCTTTATAATAATAATATTACGCTTCTACTCCCCTTAAATTTGTATATAACAATAGAAATACAAAAAAAGCTAACCCCATACAAAGTATAACTTAATTTTTTAAGTAGTATTAAGACTTTTATCTAGTATACTATTTTAAATTTTTAACGTATTTGAGTGACAAAGTTTTTGAATACTTTTGAAAGTATTCGAATATATTCTAAAGTATTTGAATACTTATTTTTTTAAGTATTTGAATACTTTTCAATGTATCTGTATCTAGTATTCGCTTGTGCTGGACGTAAAAGTATTTAGTATTCAAATACCTTTGATTTGTGTAAAGTATTTACTATTTAGTATTCAAATACTTTATGAAAGTATTATGCCCAGCTCTGGCTACAAACAACCATTTAACAGTGCATTTGAATATCACTACTTGCAATTTAAGAGATATTTTGCTTTCTCAGATTGGGCAATCCAATGCAAGCTTTATAGGGGAGTTGATGGTTCCCGTCTGTTCGTCTGTCCGTGAACAGTAACGGCTAAACGCTTGGGCCGATTCGGTTCAAGCTCTACAGATTTGACCCATATACCCGCATATACCACACGTAAGAAACCTATTAAAAATGGGTCAAATCCAATAACCCCGTAGTCACACCGAGGTACTCGTATTTTAGTTCACCTTTTTTTATGCGGAAGTATTTTTTTCCATAACTTTTTTGTATTAGATTTTGGAGACCGTAGGTCGTATGTTAATAGGGCGCAAAGTACTATATTTGCTCAGTTTTGTTTTAATTCATTGGTGCAATACTTGTTAATTTGAGATGTCTAAAAGAATCATTAAGCCAGGAATATTTTCTCAGTGAAAAACTTCTTGATGAAATCCCAACAATAATTTCGGCTTCAAACGTGGATACTGAAAAGGTAATTGAAATTAGCGTGCCAAAGTAGAAATTAATTATAAATTGCACCCATAACTTGACCTATTTCAGTTAGGCTTTATACCTGTAGTGAAACCGTAAAAAGGGTCCCGTTAAATATTTCAGTAGTCAGGTGAACGTTATTAAAGTCAATCAACCAACGTTTACGATCAATATTTCACAATTTTATTAGTGATTTCGCGTATAATTTCTATACAAATAGCTCGTGTGCAAAC